GACAGCAATTGTGTAGTGATTTTGACATATTTTTTTAATTTAATATATATATATATATATATATATATATATATATGTTATATTTTGAGATGAAAAGTATTTTATACCTTATTTACATTATTCGGACTATTGTCCTCATCTTTATTGCCATATTTAACAACGTTTCGGCCGTTGTACGCTCCAAATCCTTCAGGTGGTTGGAATAAACGAACTGAACCCTTTATTTCGCTCACTGGAATATTCCAACAACTAATTCCACATTGCCATTTTTTTATGGATATAAATCATATATATATATTTATTTCCCTCTGAAAATTTTCACCAAAAAAATTTAGCCAAATTGAACTCACAATCATTTGGTATATATAAAATCAACCAAATGGTTAGTATTAAAAGCTAGGACAAAAATTCCTAGCTTTAATTGAAAAACACTTTCCTACCAATAGTAGATTTAGTAAAATATTTAATAAAAAACCTTAATTTATTGAGTTAGAGCTGCACTGAAAATCTAGAAAGTATAATAAAAAAAAACAATAATAAAATCCTGAACAAACCCCCATGCCAAAATAGTATTAATAAAAACCCTACACTTAAATTAGACAAAAAACAATGAAAAATTATGTGATTGTAGAAACCCAGAAGACTGCCCATTGGAAAAATAAATGCTGCGTTAAATCTGTGGTATACCAATGTATATATCTCATCCATTGAGAGTCCTAATACTAATATGATATACATTGGGTCTACGAAGAATGAATTTAAAAATTTAGATGGAGGCAGCATATATAGTGCTCTTTCAATAATATAAATAAAAGAAATCAGACATCTCTATCTAAATATTTTTTGGCATTTGAAGGAAATGAATAAAACACCAAAAGTAAAATGGAAAATTATAAACAAAACTAGAACTTGTAAAACTTGGGATGACCCATGCCCTTTATGCCTACATGAAAAACTACACATTATTAAGTTTCTAAATAATAAAAATCTATTAAACAATAGACATGAGTTAACGGTTTTTTTTTATATCATCAAATTTTGCATTGAATAATTAGCATAAAAACAAACAATAAATAAAAAATTTTTAAAATCCATAGTCCTAATAAATAGTTTAAATGCCCTACAAAAAAAGATAACCCTTTATGAAGTCGTCAAAAAACAAATGTTAGTGTTACGACAGTTTTTTTATATACAAAAACCCTTTCAGAAAAAAAAAAAAAAAAAAAAAAAAATAAATCTCCATAGACACGTAAACCAGACTAGGCGAAATCATCTTCCGTTTTAAATTTAGACACCCCAACCTTACCCTGACTTGACATCTGTGAATGTAACTTTATATTGATACAAATTATTAACACCTTACACCCCTTTTTTTTTTAAACAATTGCTCTAGCCGTTACCATAGAAATTTTGATTTCAATAATGAATATGCTATTAAAACACGTAAATTTCAGAAATAAGTTATTCAAAAAAAAATTTCGCTTGAAGATGGAACAGAGCTTGGTTTAATTCAATTTAATTCAAATAATTATATTGAAGTTTTCGGCTCTTGTTTTGAAACATGAGAACTCTTATGTAGCGTGTTGGAATCATATTTTTAAATAAATAATATATATATATATATATATATATATATATATATATATATATATATATATAATAATAAAATATATATAATTATATTTGTGTACTTTTTGTTTTAAATAACTTTTTTATTTTATATATATATTTATATATATTATATATATATATTATATCTTTATATATATATATATATATATATATATATATATATACGATATATATTCAAATATAAAAGTTTTAATTATATAATTTAGTCTGAAAAAAAATATAAAAAATTTTATTGTTTAAATTGTAAATTTTCAAACCAAATTTATTTTTATAAAACATATTTTTTTTGAAAATATTGAATTGTTTCTTTTTTTCATTTTTATATATATATTATATTTATATATATGTATATATTTTTATCAAAAAATTTTTTATGCAAATTATCATTTAATAATATAATATAAGAACCCTTAAATTGAATTCATATCCATATTATTATATTATTTATATAAATACATATAAGAATATATTTATTTATATTATATTAATATTTTAACATTTTTAATTAATGAAGAATTCTATAAATCCTCATTTTATTTAAAATCTCAAAATTATATATGAATATAATATATTTATAAATTGATTTTTCCTCATGTTTTGTAGAAAATCCTATAAAAAATTCATACTCATAGTTATATAAAGATGATATATTCTTTAATATTCATTAAATTTTTTGTGCCTTTTAAATAAAATTTGTTCATGGATTTTGAAAGCTTTAAACATACGTCTAACATGTAATTAAAATATTCCAATAAGATTTTATTTTAATTTATATTCTTTTATATTTGAATTTTTTAAGGTTTGTATTCAACATATATCATTGAATATATTTTATTTAATATGTCTATGATAGTAATATTTATAAATA